AACATCCTCACTCTCCCTATTTCTCTGGCTGGCACTTAGTGCTACCACTTCCAGCACTTTCTACACACCCACAATCCTTTCTTCTAAACCCTCGAGGCCACATGTGCTTTGGCATTTAGAGCTTGATGCTTTTTAGAAGGCTAACAGGGGTGGGAATGTTAAAATGGAACAGCCATTTTGCAAAACAGTTCGGCGGTCTCTTATAAACATATACTTACCGCACAACCCAGCAATCCTGCCCTTGGGTATTTATTTACCCAAGAGAAGTGAAATGTAGGTTCTCAATGCTCCCACTAACACCCATCTGCCAGTGTTCATAGTGGCTCTATCCATAACACCCAACCTGGAAACATCCCAAATGTCCCTCAACTGGGAAATGGATGAACAGACTCTGGTCCATCCATTCCATGGAATATTACACAACACCAAAAAGCAATAAACTACTGGCACCACAACAACATGAATGAATTGCAAAGGCTGCGTGAAATAAGCCAGACTGAGGCTACACAGTGGGATTCTATTTATATGATCTTCTGGAAGAAGCAAAACTTTAAGGATGGAGAAGAGATTAGTGCTAGCAAGGGGTTTGGGCAGTAGGGAGATCACCTGAAGGGGCATTAGGGGGTAATTTGGGGTGACAGAACTGTTCCCTATCTTGATTTTGGTGGTGACTACATGACTACACGTATTTGTCAAAACTCACAGAACTGTACGCTAAAAAGGGTGAATTTGCTATAAGCAAATATATCTCAATAAACCTGATTTTTGAGAAAGAGAAGTAACAGGATGCATCTATGATGTGACATAGATACTCTAGGTGTGTGTAACCCACAGACTAGCAGCGCGGGCAATCCTTATAAGTGTGTTGGAAAAGCAGACTCCCAGGCCCCACCCAAACCGGCTGGACCAGGATCATCACTTTAACAAGATAATCCTCGTGCACATGTAAGTTTGAGCAGCACAGCAATGGACACAGAACACTCCCAGTGGGGGGCTGGAACAGTCTTCAGTATCGAGTACAGCTAACACTGCTATAGTGAAATGCACCAAAACGCACACTGGGTGGGATAAATTCAGACTGTACATTAAGACTATAAACTCCAGCCAGTTCAAGGTAGATTTTTCAGAGAAGGGAAGGCACCTTTGTAGAAAACAAAACAAAAAATCCAATGGAAAAAGCCATGCTAATCCTTACTTCCCAGAATTTTGCTCTTCTGAAAATACCAGCTGCACTGATCTAGTAGAAGGACCTATGGGTCATGCGGCCCTACCCTCTACAGTAGTATCTTCTAGCACATTCTACTTTTCAGGATGGGCCAAGAGTCCGATAACATGCTCCAACTTCTTCCAGAGCTCCCTCTGTTTCTCAGTTGTCTTAAAGAGCCTTTCATTAAAACACACACACACACACACATACACACACACACACACACACAAAACACACTGGGGGAATGCCAGTCGGTCAATGTCCACAGGTTACCTGATGTGATGGGACTCTGGGCTTCTTGTTGTGATTCCCGAAAAGCCAGAATCCTGTATGCGATTCAGGAAACCGAGCATGATAACACACAGACCTGGGTCTGTGGCTCTTGCAATGGCCCAAATTCCTACACCCTGTTCTGTGGGAGATCTGCTGGCATCAGCAGGACTGGGGGAAGACGACATTCAAAGTGGCGCTTGGTGGCACATCAGAAGGAGCAACTGGCATTAACTGGGGGCTCTAGGAAGATGTGCCTTATTGAGCTGACAGATTTGAGCTCTTTAGAAGCCATCGTCAGAGCCCGTCACAGCCATCTTTAAATCAGACTTCCAATCAACAAAAACATGAAACCAAGGTGTGTGGTCAAGATGGCCTGCTGCCCAGCCTACTCCAAGAGCAAAAGTCAGCAGTGTAAATCAACATCCAAGACCTCCATTTGGGTTTTCTTACTTGGGAAGAGAAAAATAAAATTAATGAGAACCCTTAATTCTCACTGCTGGCTTCAAGCTTGCGCTGCTGGGGATGGGGTGGGGTGCAGAAGAGTAAGAAATCACAGCGGCAAAGTGCCTGTGAGTGTGGGGAAGTCAAGGCTGCACCCTCCACCAGTGTGCCACGCTGTAAGTAACACTCTTAGGCCCAATAAGCATACAGCCAAGTTCATGGGACTTGCACTCGCTCTTCTTCCAAAGGCAGTGAGGAAGCTGCTTTCCCAATTCAGCAGCAACCCTTAGTTAATGCTGTTTCCAAAAACATGTCCTGCTACACACGTGTCAAAGAATGGCAGGGCCAATTCCACTCCTAGGTATAGACCCAAGAGAAATGCAAAGTACAAGTTCAACAAAAGGCATGTACAACAATATTCCTAGCGGCACAATCTGGAAACTCCCCAGTGGCCCTCAATGGAAGGGTAAATACCTGTGTTAGAGTCACACAATAAGATACCACACAGCAATGAGAAGGAACTATCTAGAACTACTCACAGAAACACAGATGAATCTTGAGCTAAAGAAGCCAGATATAAAATATCACAGCCCGTGACTCAGTTTATAGGAGGTTTGAAAAGAGGCGAAATGAGCCCATGGGGGCCAGGTGTCAGGGTAGCAGCTACCCTTGGAGGGGAATGACTGGGACGGGACATGAGGGAGGTGCTGGGAGGGGCTGATCACATTCTTTTTCTTGACCTGGGTGCCAGTTGCAGGCTTGTGTTCACTTTGTGAACACTTGCTAATATGGACTCAACTTTCCTACACATATATCAGACTTTATTTAGAAGTTCAGAATAAGTACTTAAACACTTTTTAAATAACAGAAGTATGTGGATTCAGAAGTCAACATTCTGCCCTGGTACACTGACTCCTCAGTGTTTCCACCTCCTTTCACTGGCCCGAATTCCCTTATCCAGGCCCCCAGCTCTCTGTCCCCACCCGACTCATCCTCTCCAGAAAAAGCTCAGTCCTGGATGACCTACTCCGTGACAGACTGGGGGATGGAGAGCTTTTCTTTCCAGAGTGAGGCTGTATAATGTGTTTGCTGCCTCGGGCCAAAGAGAGAACAAAAACTGTCTGCAGAGAGCGAAATGCACAAACTCATCACAAAGCTACCAACAGCAAGAAAGCCAAAGAAAACTAAGTACCCACCAACACTCCCAAGTCACCTGCACCCCTCCCTTGAGCAATCTCCTTCCTCCCCAACAGCCCTCTCTGCAGGATTCAGGCAGGACCGGGGTGAGCTAAGGACACATTAGGACTTCCACCTCCCTCCTTTCCTCTTAGAAGATGCCAAATCCAGGATCCAGAAGGTGATCTAAAGCCATTCTCAACCTGGAAACCTGTCAGCCCAGTGAATTCCCCCTGGACACCCCCTGGAGTTAGCTGAGCAGTGCACACATTGACACCTTGCCATCCTCCAAGCTCCCACCACTCCTCCAGGGGTTGAGAGGGAGGCAGACAGAGTGATCACAAGACCTCTGAGAGGTTGGGACTTAGCAGGCAAAGACCTGGTTCCTGCTTTGGGCACCCATCGTAGTTAGGGGTACATCCCTCCAGAAGGGCCCCGGCTGAACCTCTTAATTTTCACCACCCTCGAAGTAGACCGTTCACACACTCCAAAACCTCAGCGCCCTCCATGACAATTTAAGCACCCAGAAGCCAAAAACCTGGCTCAATTCTGAGCCCTATTAAAAGTGAATTCCACCCACCACTGTGCTCCTCAAATAACCAACTCAGGACCACCCAAGGCCCAGCCCTGTTGAGTATATAAGTTAAAACCATAGACAAAATGGGTGGGGGCTCATCGCTGAGCCATGGGGACCCACGCAGCCACGTTCATTTTTACACTGAGGGCGGCCAGTTGGAACCTTGCCGAGAAGTGGCACATTTGGGCATGACACGATGGCCAGTCAGCCTGGGGAGCAAGGTGCGTCCCCCCACTTGGAATCTGGGTCATGCTTAGATAACTGCTAGAAAGCCCGACTAATTACCCATCCTTGCCTGCCTACATCTCAACAGATGTTAAACCCTCTTTAAGGTTTATTTCAAGCAGGCACAGATTTAAAGAAACACAGGGGACCTGCATTTTGATAGCAACTGAATAGAGGAAAATGTGGTCTTCACCTTCCTCTGGATCTTTGATTTTTTTTAAAAAAGAAAGAAGAAAAAGGCATTTACCTGCCTGAGATGTCCACATGGGTGCTGATTCTCCTGGTGTCCCCTCGAGGCTCCCTATGGTGGGAGAAGCTGAATCCAACCCAGGGCCTGACACAGCCCTCTACCCTCTAGGAAGGACCCAACAGCTCATTTTCTCCTGCCCTTTCTTAGTCAAAGAGCTCAGACTGGGTCTTCCAGGTCAGGGCTCCAGATGGGGCCATTGGGATGTTTTCTACACCCCAAAAGATGGGAGGAAATGGGACCTGCGGACATGGGGAGATTAAGTGCCCTCCACCTGTCGGGCCAGCAGCCCACTCAGGCCAGTGCTGGCACCTCAGTGTGAAGGCCACATGTTGTCCCCCTCACTCCTGGCCCTGGGAACCCCTAAGCACCCTAAAAGTGCGGTCCCCACCTTGGGGAAGGCCGGTGGAGAGGCCAGCGAGCTGGGACTGGGCTCTGGCTCTGTAGCGACCGCAAATGCTGGTGAGGGGAGGCAACCCCCATGGTTCCCCTGCGCTGGCCGGTGCACCCAGGCCGCGGCCAGGTCCCAGCTCATTCGCGAGAACTCTGACCCCTCGGGAACTGGCTCCAAAGGCCCCCCAAGGCCCCTGCACGACCCCAGGGCCCAGCTCTCATTCTGGAATAGGTTCTTAGGAGGTATTCACTCCCCGGGTCCCCCCACCCCAAGCCTCCGCGGTAGCTCAACCCAGCTCGGGGTGGAGAGATTCTGCACACTCCTCCCCGGTGCCCCCTCTCCCAGCCCCTGGAAGACCCCCCCACCTCCCATCAACCCCCGGGTCTCCCTCCCAGCCTGGAAGAGGGGAAGCGGAGGGAGGAGGGGGAGGCGCAGCTGCCGGGCTCCGGGCAAAGGATATGGCCATTCGGTGATCTTTTTGGCGTATTTTCTCACCACGTTGTCCTCGCTGAAGAGGAACAGAGACCGGTTGACCGTGAGGCAGTTCTGTCGGACGGGGATGGGGTTGTAGAGGGCCATGGTCCGCGCTCTCTGCGCCATTGACTGCTTGTACATCCTTTGCGCCCCGGGCTGCCCGCCCTGCCGGCTGCCCCCGGCTCCTCGCCCGCCTCCGGCGCCCAC